GTGTCAGACCGCTGTGGAGTTTTCTTCCCTCTCACCATAGACAAGGGCACTGGGTCCCGTCTGCTGTCTGCAAACATGTGACCATGAAATACAACAGGTGGCCGACTGCCCTGCACATTTAAGGTTTGGAAAAGCAAAGATGCTTGTGTGTTCTCAGGAACTCTGAAGGAGAGATGCCTTGAGAGGATTACCGGGAAGGATAAAGGGACCCAGGGTCTTATGGGAGGAAGAAGGGGGAAGCAGTGTCAGAGGTGACAGATGGGAGGGAAAGGGAGACTTCGAGACCCACAGAAGCACCGTGTGACAGAAACAGCCAGCACCTGCCTTTCTCCACAGCAGGCCCTGGTACTGTGTTACTGCTGCAGTGATCAAGTCAGGCTTCCCTGCCTATCATCTCCTCTCCCTTCCCTTCCACTCTGCCCTGGAGAGGCCCAGCACATTAGCTTGTGAGTCAAGGAGAGGATGAAATAAGAGAAAAGACAAAACTGGCCATCCCTCCATCTAGCTACAGGGCTTAGACACGAGGCAAGTCCAACCTGGAAAGGGCAGGTGAGTCTTAATGGAGTTTGCATCACCCAAGGTGTAGGTGGTGAGGAGGAACGAGTCTGCGTAGCAAAGCACAGGAACTGTCATGACGTGAGCATTCAGCCTGCACGACGCTGGCCTCGCTCATTCCTTCCACGTACTACAGCTGAGGATGGAACAAAGTCCAGGAACATTTGGAGGAAAATGCTGCTTACATCCCACGTGTCATACTTTGTGTCACCCTCACATGATGGGGCAGGAAACTGTGATAAAAAGGTGAGATTTTTGCCTCTAACTGAGACCCTCAATTTTAGAATTAAACACAGCAGAGGAATTGGGGAGGAGCATCTCTAAAAGCGCAAACATTAGGCGGCTTTTAAGAAAAGGCTCCATTGTGTTCCAGGGATGTGGCCTTCCTGGAACGTCACCCTCTCGGCCACCATCCATTATAAAACGCTCCCTGTTGATCCCATTGTGGGAACCCTTCCCGCAAGAGTGATGCAAAACTGGCCACTGGGCCAAAGGGTCACGGTGGTCAGCATGGAAACCGGCCATGTGGCCCACAGAGTGAGGTTGACCAGCAGGATGAAAAGATGGAACAAAAACCCACCAGGGTGACCCTAATCCTGTCTCAGGAAAAGTCTCTGTAAAAATGGGGAAGCCCGGGGGTTCTGCTGAAGGGAGATGAGGAGCCAGAAAGTGCAGCTCAAGAGGAGGCAGAGGTCCCACACACGGCCCTCAGGTTCCACACATGAAGATGACGGGCAGACACGGAGCCCAGAGATGGATGCAAAGACCCGAGTCCAAGGGCCTAACTGAGAGTCGCAGGTCAGATGCCTGGACAGGGAGGAGCCTCCTCATCTGGATCTTTCACCATGGAGGAATACACAGGGACAAGCCAAGTTCATCTCTTTCTGTTTGTGTGAATTTGTGGATACTCTACCCCGAATGTCCATGGTCTCTGTCCTCTGGAGCACGGTCAGTTACAACAGGTCTTCTCAACCTTGGCACTAAGGGTGTCTGGTCAGATCCCTCTTTCTGGTGGGGCTGACCTGTGCACTGTGTGATGTTTAGGGCCATCCCTGGCCTCTGCCCACAAGATGCCAGTTGTGTCCCCCCAACCCCAGATGTGAGCGCCAAAAATAACCCCAACATTGTCAAATCACCCCTTGTTGAGGACCAGCAGATTAGGAGTCTCAGTCATTTATTTACAATGCTCATGTATTTTGTTGACACTGGTTGTACGTAAGGTTTGGACTTAGCTGTTTCCCACAGTCTGTTCTCTCAACAGCCACTCTTACCCATCTCTAATTTGAAGAAAGCCTGTGATAAAGGTCGCACGTCCTCAACAGGCAACTTGTAGACCACCAGGGTGGAGCATCTGGGGAGAAAATGGGGTGAGGCTGCACTCTGGGTTTCCAGGTCGTGACCCAGCAGGGTGCACATCTAAAAAGGGGCAACACCTGGTCATCAGTTTGTTTAAATGTGCAGGTTTGTGGTGGGGACACCCGAGAGCAGAGGCTCTTTGACAACAAGAAGTCAGTCTGCTCAGAGGGGGCCTGGAGGATAAAGTGGAGAAAATCACAGAGGCTGCTCCTGAAGAAGGGAAGGGGCAAGATGCTCACCCTTCTTCTTAGCGAGAAGAGAAGAGAACAGCGTTTATGTAGAAAGAACCGGGGTCAACCCCTCTTCCTCCCACTCGGAACCTCACACGCCCCACTGACGATAAGAACAGTGCTGAGATCCCCTCCACTGAGTGTTGACGGATGCCTGGGACTCCGGCACAGACTCTAGACAGGTGATCTCCTTTAGTGGAGGACGATTTCCTTCTAGAAAGGACCTCTGAGCCAACCTGAGTGCGTGCCCACTCCTGTGCCTGGCACCCTGCGGAACCCCATGAACACCTATTCCCTTGTGGGAGTCAGGGCAGGTCAGCTGTCTGTTCTCTTACTTCCCCCCTGTGGTGCCCTCGGAACTGAATTTTCTCTGACAATTAAAGTGCTCACAATTACCAAAGAATTAGCCCCCCGCCCCCCAGGGAAAACGAGAAAGAGAAGATAAAGCTTGTATTTCTATCACCATAAGAGAAACACAAACCCAGTTTGAACAAAATGACACACATGTTCACCTGTCCTGCCGAGCAGCCTGGGGGAAAAGCCTGAGAATCTCTGCGTGGAGGGGCTCCACCTGTGCAGGGGTCTTCACCTTCATCACCAGCAGGTAATCTTTGCCGAATTTGCTCTTCAGGTGTTGGATGGAACCGATGCACCTGGAGGTAGGAGGAGGCTGAGTCCAGGTAAGAAAGGGCGAAGTCTGTGGCTGGTGATGCCCATTCTTTGAAACAAGGGAAGGGCGCGCAGAGCAGCGGCCAGCCCAGCTCCTCCCAGGGGGTGGCCTTGTGCAGGGACCCGTCCTTCCTTCAGAGCACACAGCCTGGGGCCCAGTGTGGGCTGGGGTGGGCACTCACCTCAGCCTCCCCGACACCATGATGGCCACTCGGTCACACACGGCCTCGGCCTCGGCCATGTAGTGAGTGGTCAGGAGGACGCCCCTGTCCGTGTTCCTGCACAGGGCCCGGATCACCTGCCTGAAGGTAGGTTGAGGGAAGCGTTAACTAGTGGGAAGGTTTAAGGTCTTGTGGAACTTTTTAAAAGAAGTTTCCATTCACACACATATGAAACGAGAAGTGAGATTAGACAAAGAATGGAGTTTTTGGGCAGGCCTAGAAACAACCAGACTGTTAGAGTGTGTACTTGAGAAAATGGTTGGGGCTGAACAGGGAGAAGGATGTTGGGTATAACACTGTTTAGAAAAACTCTCAGCTCAGGGATATTTAGGAGAAGGCAGTGAGAAGAAAGACGGAAAATGAGAACTTACTAAAATGCACGATAATAAAAACTACACCCTGCAGGTACCAAATGACAGAATTTAGAAGGACTTGGAATGTTTCTTTATTTCCACCATAAGAATTGTGTATCAGATAATGCTATAGAAAATTTTAAATTGTAATAAGAGATTAATTTGAT